TTTTTTTTTTAACCTATTCAACTTCTTTAGTTTTAAAACTGTTTGTTTCTTATGTTTTAAGGTTGGATATTATCTCAAAAATTATTTTCCCCCTGTAAATTTTCTAGCTTACTATATTTCCCCATGTCACATTAGTAGTATGGATTTCAAAACTGGTTTTTGTCTCAAGTACATATGCCAATGTTTATTGATCCATTTAAGTACTTATTGAGCATTTCATAGGTCTACAGGAGTGGACTAGATAATATCAATCAGTAGGTATAAATAGTCCTTACAACTATCCTTAGCATATTAAACTTTATCTTGGTTTCATAATATTCTATGTTTCTTAGCTCTGGATTCAGAGTGAATCACTTATGTTTTTTAATTATACCTTCCTGATTCTTTTTCACATTTTGTGAGAAAAATTTCCATGTTCTTCTAGACTCAGTCTGTCTATCTTTTATCAAACTGGTCCTTTACATAACTTCTTGGGCATGTCACAAAATTGAGATACCAATTCAGAAATTTAGAATAGGTATGTACTCCAGAATTTTATTTTTATCACTGTTCCTGATCATCTCATTATCTCAGAAGAGACAAACAACATTTGAATTGTTTATTTTTAAGATGTTATAACTGAGAATGAAAATAAGGTCTTGGTCCCAAGTTTCTGTAGAACCACAACATCAGTGTAAAAAGTAGTAAAAACTTTAGTTATTGGTGAGTCATTACTCACACCAGGGAGTCCACAGTGGAAAGAATTGTCTTTTGAGATCAATGAATTTTAAAAGGCTTTTGTTTATAATGGGTCCCTCTTTTACTATCAGGAGATCCAACACAAGGTAAATCAGAGTAAAGAATGTGGGAAAGCTTTCAGCCATAGTGACCTTATTTGATGTCAAAGAAGCCACATGTATCAATGTGATAACTGTGAGGCAGCCTTTATACAGCAAGGAAACCTTAGAAAACCTTATGTGAAGAATGTAAGAAGACCTCTACCCAAAGTCAGGACTCACTGCACCATGGAGTCTACACAGGAAAGAGATTTTACATACATAAATATGGAATCATCTGCCATGAGTTTGTGTTGAGTATGGAAAGGTTTTCAGACAAAGTTTGGATCTTGGAAAACAAATTCATATTAGACTCTGAGGATTGTAAAAAGTTGTACGGGCAGAGGTCAACTTCAACAGCAGTGTCTCCACAACACTAGAAAGTTAATTAATGTAAATGGGCACATTATTTGTGGAATGGTAGTCTAAACTGCTCATTTTAGCCAGTAAAGTCATTAAATTATGACTCAGATTTTTAAAAATGAGGTCAGAAGTTCTTTTTCCCTTTTCCCAGAGGTATCTATGTATGTAAACAACCAGGACTTTTGAAATAAGCTTTAAATCTGCAACCCTGAACTTGTGATCTGCCTCCTAGATGATTTATATATGTGTTGGAGAGTATGTTATTTCCCCATGCCTGCTCTATCTTTTAACTCATTCAGCAAACAGGGACAACAGTATTTCTGTCTATTATTGACTGTGAATACATGTTTTCTTTATGAGCTAAATAGGTTTACATAGGTATCCTAAGACATTCTTAAAAAATCACATTTTGACCTTTCAGTAAAAGAACCACATTATTGAATTATTGGGCCCTTTCATAAATTTGGGACTGCTTCATTTTCTCCAACAGAAGGTCATGCAGGTATCCTTCAGAAAGTACTTTTTTTTCAATATAGAAATAGATCTGGTTATGATGGCTCACACCTGTAATCCCAGCTACTTAGGACGCTGAGGCAGGAGGATCACAAATTTTAGACCAGCCTGGGCAATGGAGCAAAACTGCCTCAAAATAAAAAATACATAAGTGCTGGGAATATAGCACTTTGATAAGAGAACTTTCCTAGCATGCCTGAGGCCCTGGGTTTAATTCCTAATACTTAAAAAGTTACTTGACAATAGCCTACTGAAAGATAATGATAGATATTTTCCCTTAATAACACAAAATATAATATTATAAGGAATAATACTTTAAAGTAACTTGATTATTATCCTTTTCAGTTCTAAAATCTACAGACTGAAAAGAGTCCTCAGAAGCTGTCCTTCAACCAATTAGTAGTGTATAGCCTAATTTCCACTTATGCAGCATGAAGTGTGGGAGGCCAACCTTACAGGTGACTGAGTTACACTTCCCAGCTGGGCGCTGAGGCGCTCAGTCACAGAAATGGGTGTATCTTGCTAGAGCCCCATGGGTGAACCTATGCTCACCTGTTCCTTTGTAATATAACCCCTTGCCCTGTTTAGGATAGAATCTTCCATGGAAGTGCCT